CCCCCCCCCCACACACACACACACTATTTAGTAAACATTCTTTCACGGTTGTTTAATATTTTCAGTATTTGCTGCAGAAGTTTAGTTGTATTCCCTTCCCTTTCTCATTACGCTAAATAGCTGTGGGGTTTGCTCTTGCCTGGATTTTTTTTTTCCTCTATGTTATATCTTTCATTTTTCATTGTATAATAAATGTCTTACAGTGTGCAGATGGCAGTATTGGTCAGAAAAATGAAACCTATTAAAAATAGGGGAACAAGGAACAATATATAGAGAAGATTTTGGGAGATGATAGAAGAGGACGATAAAAAGACTTGCAAGAAAAGTGAAAGTTTAATATGTAAAGAAAAAAGGGAGGAGGGAAGAGGTCTACAGAAGAGAAAGAGACATTCAAAGTAGTTTAGAAAAGTTAGAACCAAGGTATGTTAGTAAAAACAAAAACAAGAATGAAAAGAGATTCAATGCATGAAGAAATAAAGTAATAGATATATCTAATGACAGAGATATATGCTTAATACAGAGATTAATTTCACTGCACATTCTGAAATATATTTCTCTGGTGCCTGAATACCACAGAAGCTCATTAGTTGCTTGAATAATAATTGGTAAAGAAATTATTTACATCAGCCTTAATTTTACAATCGAATAGGGGCAATTAATGCTTTTATACAATTTAACTCCAGTAACATTGAAACAGATTGTTTATTGGGTATTAAGCTAGTTGTCAAATGTTACAGCATGATACAGAATAAAGAACTGATAAGATTTACTTTGTGCTGAGTAACAGTTTTATTATTTTTATAGAGTAGGAAGGAAGAACATTCATTGTTTGAGGAGGAGCTGGTGTGTAGACTGCTATTCAGACTCTCAAAATTGCGGAATCACTTTTGTGCTTATTCCATTGTGGATAATTTCCTTATGGAATGTGGGTGCTTAGGCTACCAACACACTAACACTGATAAACATACTGAGCGAGCTCTGCTGATGCCTCCACAGCTTGCTTTGTATAAAGGGCTGCTACCTGTAATGTGTGTGTTATGTTTCTAGTTGTAGGCATGTTACTTTGAGTTCCGTCGTGATGTAGTTACTCTTTTCGCCCTGATCATTAGATGTGAGTTTAAAACTAATAGTTATTGAACATGAGTTCAGCTCTGACTGCTGTATTGTCTATATGTATATTTGTTTTCAAGACATTTTTATTCTTTTTTCATGTCTGGCACACATGTGAATTGGAATTAACCATTTGCAGGTTGAAAATGGTATTTTAAGAAACCTTTACAAGGGTTACCAGCAGTATTGTGGACTAATCAAAAAGTACTTTTTGATTTTTAACATCAAATAAACATCGAATAAATTTCATTAGGTCTGAATATTAAAGGCAGTTGCATTTTTATTCTCAAACAAAAACTTCATCTGATTCTTACTGCAGTTATAATGTCACTGCTAGGAAAATCTTTAAATCAAATACGACTTTGATTTAGGAAGCTGAGGTAACAGTACATGAAATTAAATCAAACTGCTGAATAAAAATGCAAAGTTCTAACACACATTTAAGATTGCAGATGGTGTAATGTGAATGCCTTAAAAGAACAGAATACAGACGTAACACAAAGTTGGATTTGTTTTTCTAATGGCCGTAAGATTTCGTTATGTGCAATAGAGTAAATTTTTGTCTGTGTTCCAACAGTGTTGACTTATTTGCCTTAAGCTGTAAATTTTATTTAGATTTAATGCCTTTCATACAACTGTTTTGTATCATAATCTTTTTGATTCCTTCACTTAATACTTGTTTCTCATTATTTTCATGAAATTTGGAGAAGGTTCAACTCTTTGGCCAGATTTTTGAAATGTTAAAAGTGCAAGTGAAAAAATATTGTAATGTATTCTTAATTCCCACCAGAAATATCATTTCTGCAGATGACTTTAACCTTGTCTAAGCTTGACTAAATAAGTTCCATTCAATTTGTAGTTATGGGCCCCTTTGATGGCAGGAAGATAACTCTGTTCCCTGTTTTCATTGCTGTGTTATATAATGATGCATTTTCAAGCATATTTTAAGTAGTAATGAATCAAAAAGAATGCTATAAAATGACATCTGGTAGATTGTTACGTGACACAGGACTTAGGTCTAAAATGATATGAGTACATGCACATTCTTTTACAATTACCTTTTGTCTATTAAGAAATTTTTTTTTTGATAGAGGCTCTCGGGACAGCAGCAGGAGATAAACAACTTAAAACAGAGAAAGATTGTTGCGGATAAGGAAAATGCCCATTTGAAGAATGAATTCAGTAACTTGAACCAGAAATTTAAAGATAAAAGCCAAGAACTTAAGGTATATTGACTTGTACATAGTTTCCTAAGACCGTAGCTTTGAAGTAGCTCTTTAAGCAATGTCAGCCTTTGTGGCACAGAAAGTGACAAGCTTGGAGAAAAAATTGCCTTAGGCCTTGCTATACCTCACAGTTGTTTCACACGCCAACTCTGAGGAAGATGCTTTAAAGCCTAGAATCCAAGCTTTATAACTTTCAGATAAATAGTTAATGATGGAAATGGAGCAAAGAAAGTAGGAGTGTGAAGATGTGGCTTCTTGTAATTAGATTCTGATGGGACTGGCATTATTAATTGATAAAGCCGAGGTCTGGGAGGATATGTCTGTGTGGGTCTCAAAAATAGCTGGGGACAGCATCAAAGGCAGCTTGATCAATTAATGGGCTCTTTGCAAATGTATACTCATCAAAGCTGTCATCCAGCTAAAAAATATGACCCTTCCACCTGCATGAAAGAGGCCAATAAAAGTACACAGGTGACCTTGGCCATCAAATATAGAAGAAGCTGCTGTGAGGGTAAAACTGCACAGTTTATATTTGCTGATTAGTTCTTACTTTTTTTTGTTTATCGGCCCTTATGGTACTGTTCTACAGGACACTGAGGAGTGTGCACAGAAGAAGGAAGAGCAAAACAGACTGGTTATAAAAAATCTGGAGGAGGAAAATAAGGGATTGAATACACGCTGTGCTGACCTGCTAAATGACCTGGAGAAACTGAGGAAGCAGGAGGCACAATGGAAAACAGAAATATCTGGCACTGATGCCAAAATAAAGGTATGAAATGGAATGGACTTCTGGATATTATTTCAGAACTAACTTCTCTGGGCATTTACACTACAAGTTATTTTCTTTAAATAACAAGTTATATATTCAAATCTACCAGTGGGGACTGACATTCATTTACATTCCTTCGCTTAAGACCCACAGCTTTTTAAAAATTGATGCTGCAAAGCAGGAGTCTGACTTCAAATAGTCATCTTAAAATGTAATCATTAAAAAATAAAAGATACTGCATTTTAAGATAAAGGACGTATATATTAAATAATAAAAACATAAAAGTATTTTCATTCAAGATTTTTTTCTCAATGTATAATTTACTGAACTATAATTTGATTGCAGTAGACTTGGTATTTGTTGTTTTGGAAGAACACTTTACAACTTTAACTGTAGTTTTGAATAAATTGTATCTTAGCCTGCAGAGGGCTCCACTCCGAGAGACCTTATTAGTGAATATAATATATTAAAACATTTTTTTCACAGTTTATAATAAAATGAAAAAGCAAGTAATATTTTTGATGCATTGTACAGAATATTGTATTTTTTTTTATTTAAATACGTTAGTCTGTCCCATATGTTGATGAAAGCTGGCATGTTCTTTTTAAATTCCTGTAAAGGAAATAAGCCACAGACATGGTATCAAAGTGTTTGATGGCTGCTTATGTGCCTATGTAGTGTTCTTCCCTGTCCCCCCCCAACCTGGCTAGTGAACCCTTAGTTACAAAGCTGTTTTCTTTACAATATCAAATTGCATTACCTTCTGGTGTATTCAGTATAGTTACTATATCTATTCAGCATCTTGCACAGAAACATCTCTTGCAAGTTATTCATATTGGGGACACTTCTGACTGTTATACTCATGGAAAGCCTTTGTGAAGACTTTTGTTCAGATCTTTTAACATAAGAAGTAATGTCCTTGCAAATCAAGGCTCTTGGAGTGGTTATGATGAAAGGATTGTAGGATTCCCAGAACACTAAATGGTTTGTTGATCCTTGGGGGGAGAAAATCCACTAGTGCACACTAGACTGATTTAATTTTCAAGTTGCCAAATGTATTGTTTTCAATATCTGATAAATTACTGAAAATTACTGTTATCCACACCATCAGTGAAAATAGTCAGAACTATTTTTAACACATCAGTCTTCATGGCTAATAAGGTATGCTCAATGAAGAAAGGTGTGCCACAGCCATACGATTCCAGAGATGGCAGTAAGCAGTGGGGGTGCTTTAGGGTGGAATCATCAGCAGTCAAAGAGATTTCTGGCTTGCGTAGGAGTAACTTCTCGAGACAGGTACTGCCTGAGCCAACCAGGAATGAGGCACAGCAGGATCTGCTGTTCACAACCAAGGAATAACATGTTGGGAATATGATAATCAGTGGCAGCCTTGGCTGTAGTGACCGTGAAATTGTGAAGCCCAAGATCCTGGGAATGCTGAGAAAGGTGTAGGTTTTAGGACAAGAGATTTTGAGTTTATTCAGGGAACTTGTAAGTGGAACCCCTTGAGAAGCAGTTCTTGAAGGGTAAAAACTCAGAAAAGCAGGCAGGTCATTTGAGGACATCTTCCTAAGTATGCCTAAGTTTGGTATATCCCAATACTCGAGGGAACAGTGATAGCAGACAGTAGATAGGGCTGAGGTACTCAATGTCTTTGCCTCAATCTTCCCCAAGGTCCTACAAGCCTTTGTGTCTAGAGGCAGGATTGACAGAGGAGGAGTGCCAGCAGTGTATGCGTTAGGAATTACCCAAGAGAGCTTTTTCAAGTCAGTGGGATCAACTGAGTATCCAAGGGTGCTGAGAGCTGGCTGATGTCACTGTGGGGCTGCTGTCCATCGTCTATGAAATGTTGTGGTGACTGGGGGAGCTCCCTTGTGACTAGAGAAAAGCAAACGTTGCACTCCAACAAAAGACAAAGGGCTGATCCAGGAAACAGTGACTGGTCAGCCTCACTTCAGATCCTGCATGGAAAAAGTCCTTTTAAAAGCCATCTCTGGATGCCTAAAGGAGACTGAGAACAATCAGGCAAGGATTTACTGAGGGTCAGTCGTGCCTGATGAACCTGATTGCCTTTTCTGCTAAACCGATCTGTGGACAAGGCAGGGGAGTAGTGCATGTGGTAATTCTCAGCTCTTGCAAGGTGCTTGACACTGTCTCCTACAGTATTCTTCCCAGGCTAGGATGTTACATCTGCAGGGGTGGACAAATTTAAATATATCTGTGGGCAGATATATTTAAACACCATCTGGGCAGTTGGGTTCAGAGGGTTGTGGTTAATGGATTGTACTCTACCTGAAGGCTGGTATCAAGCTGGGTATCGCAGGGCCTGTCCCAGAAGCCATCCTTTTTAGCCTCTGTGTCAGTGACCTGGAGGAGGGGACAGAGGGCACAGTCCTCTGAGTTTGCAGATGACCCCAAACTGGGAGGGGGGACTGTTTGATGTGCTGGAGGGCAGGGCTGTTCTGGAGGGGTCTCAGCAGAGATGGGCCAACGAAGACCTTAACAAGGATGCCAGCCCCGCCGTGCCCGAGGCAGCAGTACTGGGGTGGCTGCAGGCAGGGCCGAGGAGTGCTGCTAGCTCTGTGCTTGTGGGATGCCTGGTCCTGGCAGGGGGAAGGAGCCCGGAGACACTGTGCTGCCTGCAAGGCCTGGCCGGCACCTGGCTGCGGGGGGGCTGGGCTGGGGACCGGGCC